GAATCTAGAGTGAGAAATAACATGGTTCTTGTGTTTCTCTAGTTTCACTTCAGAAGAAGTCTCTCATGTTCGTTTTTCTGTCTCAGATATGCTAACTCTGCTCGACACACACACACACTAACCACGGACTGAAATGTTAATGTAAACAAAAGCTCTGAGGTTAAAATTCATCCAGCTGACGTGATGCAGGCTCAATAAAAACTTACAGGTAGATGAACGCAGACTCCTGCCGACAAGCAAAACACCGGTCTGTCTCCATGGCTCTAACGAGCGACAGAAGGGACAGCCAATCACACGTTAGCCTGATGCGGCAGAGCCAATCAGTGAGCTTGTGGGTGGGTCTAAGGGTAAACAGGCTTCAGCTTGAGGAGGCTGTCTCATCAGGTCCTAGTGCCTGCACTATATCCAAGAATTACAGTTTTGAACGGTGTAATTTGATGGAAGACCGAAAAAAGGGCACTTTGGGCACTTCAGACAAAAGGAGCAAGGGCTATCTATATATATATATATATATATATATATATATATATATATATATATATATATATATATATATATATATATATATATATAATTACAATTATTTTTTATTTTATTTTATTATTTATATAATTTTTTTGCATTATTTAGCTTACAGCTGATTACTTTATGACATAACTTTTATGGTTTCCTTCTTTTACTTTTTACCAGTAATGGCCTACAGATTATTTTGCCCTTCTGTTTTGATAAAATTTTTGCTCAAAAGCTTTAACTTTCCCTTACATATATTTTAGGGTTTTGTTTATTTTGTTCTTTTATCAACACTTTTCCAGTACACGTAGTTTACTGCATTCATTTCTTTCAACTGAGCTCTCTTTACATAATCTGCGTTCACATAGCACATACAGGTACATATACTAGGTTTCTTTTTGTTTGTTCTCTTGCATCAGATGCCATCTGTGTGTCTACTGTCAAGTGACCTGTGTGTGTGTGTTTTGCTACTCTGCTGAGTTTTGCCAGATGTCCTCGCTTCCTGGGATAACATCTCTGTTTCATCACTTGGTTCTGCTGCCTGCTGCTCTGGGTTCTGGTTCTTCTGGTTCTGGACGTCCAATGGTTTTCCTGCTATGGTTTCCTGGATCGCTGGGATCTGATCTGTTCCTGCTCATCTTGGTTGCTGCCTGTGGATATTGCTAAGTGGGATTACTATTTCCTGATTGGGATATCTATTGACTATTCTTCTGTGTGTGGGTTTGCTTTCCTCACTCCTGATGCTTCCGTGCCTTGGAACTAACTTTTTCTTCCTCTGCTGAGTCCTCAGGGTCTCTGGGATTGTTCAACGACTCGTGGTTTCTGCCAGGACCCCATGTCCCTGAGGGGGAGGGGGGGGGGGGGGGGATGTAACGTCCAGAAAGGGTCAATTTTCACCTACATGTTGACCTACACAGTGACCGGTCATCTACTGATAAAATTCCATTTTCTAAGCGACTTTTAAATTCTATCTTCTACAAGCCAGAGGATACTGCAGTGTGTGTTGACATTCCAGGAGGACAAGATTGTCAGCCTGTGTCTCCAAACAAGCTTTCTTCTAAGAGTGCAGGATTCCACACTCTGAATGAAAAGTGAACTTTTACAACTCATAAGTTAAATAATCATAAATAATCATATAGTTGAATGAACCTGATGTTATATACATAATAACATTAATGTTTGGATAATCTGTGCCTAATTCAATGAAGATGAAATGAACATTATTGTTAGAATGAAACATTTATATGTTATGATCAATAATGTTTTATTTAACAAGTGAATCATTATCTACACTCATACACAATGTTCATAAGATATAAATTACGGTTAAGGTCACATATCACATAGGTTTAAAGATTATTTATCCACAGAGTTACAACATTTTTGCACCTGGAAGGTGTGGTTTCTGAGGGATGTTTGGTAACGTCGACAAACATGTCAAATTCTGATTCGCCAGAGTCATAACATGGTGGATCATTAAAACTAGAGTGACTGTCGAGTTACTCAGGTTTAGTGTTTCTAGCTGACACTCCGAAGTGGCCAATTCGGAACCAGCCTCTTTTGAAACATCTCTTTGACATACAGTCAAAACCTGTTTGCACGCTGACACAGCTACAACTCCTTCAGAGTCCATCCGTCTTAGACGTAACCAACCTTCATGCCTGTTGTGACCTGGAGAACTCGAGACCGGTCTAGTGGCGCTGCTGTTATTCTGTGAACTTCTGTGTCTTGGGGTCCACCAGACTTCCTGACATTCCGAATCTACAACAGGGGTCTCCATCAGGGTTCGTACGCACAACAAGATTGCGTCTGATGTTGTTTTATTAATAATCAACTCTCGAGTTTATAGCAGACCAAATTCTTTTACACCCAGAACTCACAATGTCTTCCAGATACAAAGGTTCTGATAAACATCACATTCCATCGTCACACATCACCATACACTCATCATTCATAACTTATCATGTATTGTAATTAGTTTAGAAATTAAAGTTTATTTTTAATTATATACTTGACTCTGTCTGAATTAATACGAAGTGTGTTTATGATCCCTGAATAAGCAACGAATCCTAAATTCTTCTGGTTAAACATTCAAAGATCAATCAGGTTGATATTCTACATTTATATAGAATCATCACATCCTATTGGTCAAAATTTAACTCCCCAATCTCATTACATTACACAGGTCATTTCTGAGTCGCTGCTGGTTTGAAACCCTCCATAGACTATAATGGATTCTATCTGAGGCAGGGTCGTTCTGCTGTTGTTCTGCACCGCTGATGCTTTCAGTGTGAAACCGGGGATATTGGGCTAAGAGCAGACATTTCCCATAATCACAGAGGGTAAAAATGGTTTATATCTCTGTTTTCTCTCCTGGAGCTTACGACCCGCTCTGCACCCTCCTCCTTGATTCTGGGCGCAGAACCAGCTCTTTTGAGGAGAAGTGTTTTGTCGGCTACAGAAGGACATAATAAAAATAATACATCAAACTTATATAGCACTTGTTTAGGACACTCAAAGATGCTTTCACACACTCTCACATTCCCACACTGCCAGTGATGGTAAGCTACTACGTGGCCACAGCCACCGCAACACATAGAAGCGAAGCTTCTATGTGTTGCGGTGAGCCCCTCTGACCACCACCAACAAAGGCAAGTTGGGTGAAGTGTCTTTCCCAAGGACACAACAACAGAATACCCCTGCTGGTAGCTGGAATCGAACCCATGACCCTCCATGAGGCAACCCGCTCTACCTCCTGAGCTACTGCTGCCCCCTCAGGTCTAAATAAACTAGAAACATGAAGTCGCCATTTAAAAAAAACGGATGGAGGAATTATTTGTGTGATATGTTTGTCAGCCACTAGATGGTGCCATCGGATAAGAGAAATACTCCGGAAAGAGACTTTTAAGTGTACTCTGCAGTCCACCTGCACCTGAAGGACAAGGACACAGCTTTGAAGATGACAAAGGACACATTCTGGACAGAGAAGATAGACGGTTTGAGAGAGGAGTTAAAGAAGCTATCTATGGCAAACGTGAGAAACCCACTTTAAATAGGGGAGGGGCTTAGATTTAATCTTTCCAGTACCTATAATGCAGCTTTGAATCTCATTCCTAAGAAGTTTGAGTCTAGGTCACACCTTCATGTATCTGATCAACCTAACAGCCTCTTTTATAAGATAGACGATTGCGTCATTACAGAGTTATGAAGCCGAATTTGTGGGTCTCGTAAATGCGGCAAGGAGCAAAGGGGAAAGGTGATAAAACTCGAGTCTGATGCGCTTGGCCTCGTAGTAATATTGCCGCATGAGCCGCTCTCCTCTGATGGCTAAACGCGTGTCACCCCTGCTAATCCCTTTGGAGCGACTGTGGGAGGCCCCCCGCAAAAGAGGGTGGTCGCGTTAGTGACGTATACTGCGCGCCGAGTGCCAGCCGGAAGGGATATAAACACAGATAAACATGGCCTCTCACTAGTATATTTCAACCACCTACAACATGGCAAACTGGACGGACGCGGTGTGAGCGGCCTCCCTTTATCCCCTCTTGGTTTGAGAGGTACCTGATGGCAGTTTATTCCAGCTTCAGCTTTGCTACTATAAATGCCAAAATCCTCCCCAGGGAGCCGCGGCAAATCCCGTTTTGCAAACGCTATGGTGCTGTAAAAACAGCTAACGACTCATCAGGGGTAGAGAGGCGGGGTACTCAGAGTAGTTTCTGGTCGTTAAATAACAACAGACAGCTACACTTTATGAGCTTGATTCTCCCATATTCCAGTCAGAACTGACAAAGCTCCTTGGATGAGAAGAGAAACGCCTTCAAGAAACCAAAGAAGTCCAGCTGCCTTCATCCGAACCTTTTGGATTATGGCACTGATATTTTCATACATCTGGTTAGTGACGTCAGCACGCAGAACGTAGTGGGGGTTTAAAGGAGGGGTAGGAAGCCTAACTTGGAATCGTAGATTGTCCAAGGAAGGTCCTGTCTTTCTCGTCTCTGATTGGCTGAAAGGGCAGCAACCGTGGGATTGTCTTCACTTTCATAGGTTAAGGCTAGCTAGAATACACCTCTCATCTGTTTAAATGTGCATCATTTAATCTAAACTTATGATTCAGACCTATTTTCACCAGTTTTCATTATTCCAGAAGAGAAACAGACCTGCTGCCCACAGCTGGGCAGAATAGGGCAGATTGATCATATTCCAGGTAAGGCACACCTATTTATGCTCTGCTCTAAGATGGAGAGATGGTCCCACAGTGTGATGAATGCAACAAGATTTGTTATTCGTTCACTTTTAACATTTTTCAGTTTTATTTTTAAATAAAATAAACATTAAATTATTTAGCTAAACCGATAGAGCCAGCCAAGTTCACCTTTTGTACACAAGTGTTCTGGTGGCTGCTGCTAAATGAAACAACCAATCATAGGAGAGCCCTTCTAGCCAATCAGAGGCGAGAAAGGCGGGATCTTCCTTGGACATCCTACGATTCCAAACAACGCCGCTGGGATTCCTGAGGATTACCCATAGTGCCCCGCGGGTAAAGATGGCTACGGATGTTCCAAGCAGAGGATCAACTTTTCTCTGAGCGGCGCTGAGCGGATTCTCTGCCGCCTAACGGAGTTCCTCGGTGGGCTGCTTCTCGCTACCCTCACCGTGGGCTCTGTCACCGGAGTGTCCGGCTTATCTGTCCGTCTCGCTGGACCACAGCTCTCCTCCCGGGCCTTGGATCGGTTCGGAACCCGCTCCTTGTCCGCCTCGCCGGGAGAGCAGCGGAGCTCCGGCTGAAGTTTCTCCGGGACAGGTCGGTGAAGCCCCACGCCGTCTCAGGTGAGCTCTCAGTGGGCCGCGAATCGTTCCGGGGGGCTCGGATGAATCTGTGTTCGGTGCTGGTGTCCGTGTGGCAGCGGGCGGGTGCAGCTTGTTATTGCGGGAACTGGGCCACGGTCATAACGGAACCGGTTGGTCTGTGTTTATCGGAACGTTTGAGGGCGGTGACAGGGTTAGGGCTCCATCCGCTGTACTGCGGACGCAAGCCCGCTGTGGTAGTCGTGTCTGTCCCCCTGTGAGAGCCTGGCAGAGTCTGACCCAGCTGAGGGCTGCAGAGCGACTGCGCCTGCCCGGCAGACTGCTAAGTGGAAAAACACAGGAGTGGTCACACCTGCGCTCCAGACAGCCAATCAGAGGCTGGCATGACCTGCAGGGGCCTCTACAGCTCTACAGCCTGAGTTACTAGGATAAGTTAGCATACAAACGCCTCAGGTCAGATTCAAGTCAGTTTCAGGTCCGTCTCTGCATCGAGATGACTACTGATCAGCTGATGATTCCTTTCATCAGTTCCTCTTGCTGACTTTTTAGTTGTGGCGGCACCACCTGATCCAGTCTCTAAGATCTCCCAGGACCTGGCAGGGTCACGAGAACCAGTTCATGAACATTGGAAATCCAAAAGTTTCTCACTTTGCCTGCTTTCGTTCTTTTTAAACACAGAAACAGTTTTGTTTACCTGTTTTGTAGCTACAGTTTCGCTGACGGCTGCCGGTGTTCTGAGAAAACATCATACTTTGGCAAAACATCCTACCCGTAGTAGAATTTTATGTTGTTTTACATGACACAAACCCTATCCCTCACCCAAACCCTAACCCTAACCCAAGGAAAGTATTTTCCTGCAAATATGACAGCGGAGTGGCATTCCCCTTTTGTGTTGTGCGCATGCGCGCACATGCTCAGTAACAACGGGTAGGACGGTTTACCGGGTAGGAGAAATTCTCAGAACACCCGGCTTCTTCAGGTTGACGCTGATGGTGGCGCATCACTTCCTTCTCCGTTTATCTGCGGGCAGCAGAGGACGTTGTCGCCCTCTACTGCCCGCTCTCCCCTCTCCGACGATGCAGTCCCATGCGCGATCCAATGTGTAGACTCCATTGTCTCTGTTCATGGTCTCACATCCACATCTCCTTATCTCCTTATAATAAGAGCAACAATGAAAAAACGCAACATAAACACACCAACAAAACCATACACAACAGTTAGAAACAGACTAGTGCACCCAAAAGACAAAATACCAGCTGGACTTAAATGTGGAGTCATTTACGAAATCCCATGCAAACTCTGCAATAAAACATACATAGGAGAACCCGGACGCCAACTCAACACACGAACAATAGAACATAGAAAGGAGTGCGAGAAAGAGGCAAATCGTAAACACACAAGAGCAGCAAAAGAAGAAGCAGAAAGTACAATAAAGAAGTCAGCCGTAACAGATCACTGCATAAGAGAAAATCATATAATGGACTGGGACAACACACGGATCATAAACACAGAACAACAAAAATACAAAAGATGGATCAAGGAAGCAATCGAGATAAGGAGACGTGGATGTGGGACCATGAACAGGGACGACGGAGTTTACACGCTGGACCACGCATGGGACTGCATCGTCAGAGAGGGGAGAGCGGGCAGTAGAGGGCGACAACATCCTCTGCTGCCCGCAGATAAACGGAGAAGGAAGTGACGCACTAGAAGCCGGCAGCCGTCGGCGAAACTGTAGCTACAAAACAGGTAAACAAAACTGTTTCTGTGTTTAAAAAGAACGAAAGCATGGAATTAGAACCATGACACAGCAAGAACACACCTAAGATGTTTCTCACTTTGGTTCCATGGACTCTGATACCAGGTCAAGTTTATCGAACATACTGTTAGGAAACACAGGAAGAGACTGGACCAGCGCTCTGACCCGTGGAGAAAATCTGAGTCGTGTTCCTGTACAGAAGGTCTGGACGACCGTGCAGCTGCGGCAGATGTTGCTCGGTTCTTGAGACCCGACTGGTGGTTCTGTACCTGCAGTGTATGAAGAAAAACCTGACGTAGAACCGATGTCCAAGTCAGAGGTCATTTCCAGCTGTTACTTCTGGGTGTGTGGGTGTGATCTCACCTGAGCAGGGCACCCATTTGCTTCAGTTGAGTCTCCCTGGTGCTTGTGTCCATAAGGGGTGTGTGTGTGTGTGTGTGTGTGTGTGTGTGTGTGTGTGTGTGTGTGTGTGTGTGTGTGTGGGGGGGGGGGGGGGGGGGGGGGGGGGTAGAATATTTGGTTTCCAGAAGACTGAAGGAGCTGGAACAGGAAGTAATGGTTCTTGTTAGGTCTCCAACACTCCTAAATGATTTTGGGTTTACATTTGTAACGGTTCTGATGGTTTGGAGAAAGTTCTGATCACCAGCCCCTTTGGTGTGGGTACCAATCCCCGTACCAGGCACCGCTGTGGGGTCCTCGCTAGTTCATCCCAAGATCAGGCCTTTCCCACCACTTTGATCTGGTTATTTGTGCATCAGGAGATGTTTTTAGTCCTGTTTTATTTCACATCAAGTCCAGATTTATTGGTTTTATTTTCTTGTTTTTGTGATATTTTCCAGTAGAGCTGTCCCGATCAGGTCCTTTACAGCTTCTTGTTAAGCTGCGCTTGTGTGTCCGACTTCTCGCTCTCTCTGGTGGCCTGTGGTTCCCGTGTTGAGGTGGCGTCCGGTAGCTCCTATGGCAGAGTTCACATGTGCCGATGCAGAGTCCCGATTTGATACTTTCAATCCATAAAAACAAAGAAGCAGATCTAGAAAGTTCCTGAGCTTTTCTTTAATGACTGAGTGAGATGGGTGGCGTGTTGTGTTAGGTATGGTCTGATATTTCGTTTGTCATACAGCGTAAAGCGGCATGAACGAGCAACAGAGGCAACATGATCTTTAAAGGTCAGGTGTTCATCAATCACAACACCCAGATTTCGAACTGCCTTTGAAGGAGCCAGAGATGGGAAGTCATTTTGGATTGAGATAATGTGCTGTATGGATGGTTTTGCTGGGATGACAAGTAGTTCAGTTTTAGAGAGGTTGAGTTGGAGATGGTGGGATTTCATCCATTTTGATATATCAGAGAGACAGTTTGATATACGTGCAGAGACAGTGTGGTCGTCCGGTGGAAATGACAGATAGAGCTGGGTGTCGTCTGCATAGCAGACGTGAGACCACATGGAGGACGGGAGGTGTTCTCTTCTGCAACACTGAGCTACAACACAGGCCACAGTGTTGACACACCTTCTCATTTAATGTGTTTCTTTATTTCCATGACCATTGGGAGATTCTCACTGAAGGCAACAAACCTATGATGAGCTTCAGAGGTAGTCCTTCAAGTGTCATCTCAGGCGACTACCTCTTGAAGCTCATCAGAAGAATGCCAAGAGTGTGTACATCAGTAATCTGAGCAAAATAGAACATAAATCATGTTTTCAGTTATTTCACCTTGGTTCAGTCCATAACGCCTCGTGTTCATTCATAGTTTTGATGCCTTCAGTGAGAATCTCCCAGTGTGTACACACAAGCACGCACACACACACACACACACACACACACACACACACACACACACACACACACACACACACACACACACACACACACACACACACACACACACACACACCACACACACCATCTCCATGAATGGCAGGCAGCATCTGACCACCAGATGCTGCCTGCTGTCCATCATAGCAGGAAGGTGCACGGTGTCGGACAACTTCTCTCTTTCTCCTCTTGTCTGGGCTGGCGGTAAGCCGACATGCTGCCGGTGTGGCGAGCTTCACTGCTTTGGAGATGGTTTGTTTTTACTTGAAGATAATTTTTTCCTAAATGTGGATTTAGAGTTTTTAAAGATGACAATCTTTACATTTAGAATTGACATACAGATAAGACACGAAAGCTGTAAAATCCGATGCATTCATTCATTGTTTCACAAGCACAGAGAGCCGCATTGGATGGATGAAAGAGTTGCGGGCGGTCCCAGACTCGCGGGCGGCCCCAGAGCCGTGGGTTGCCGACCCCCGCCCTAGGGGATGAGGGTGGAACTGCAGTTTTCGTCACTCGTGTTGGCTCCATCTTTTCGGTCTTCCGGTTCTCCTTGGTTGGGCCAGGGTTAGGGTGAGGGGGGTTACTGGGAGGCGATGCTGACAGGAAGTGGGGTGGACACATTGATTGTATATTGAGCAGTGTGCTCCCAGCTGGTGGGCAGAGCCAGCACACAGCTCTGAATGGTGTATTTGGAGGGTTAACGAGGAAGGAAAAGTTTACAGCTAGCTGCGAGACGCCATGTGTGATCTGTCTGAGACGATGATGCTCTCAGGTGTGTGTGTGTGCACCGGAGTCATATGAGAAGGGCTGCTTCTTCTCACTGTGGAAAACAACCCATGTTAAACCCCTCTCTGGTACCAGCAGGCTGTCAGACACAACCTGGTCCGGTTTCCTCCGCTGGATCAAGTGTCTGAAAGGACAGCTTTTAGTTCCAACTGGAGATTCCTAAACCACTCTTTTCTGTTTCAGGAGACCACAGGAGCGAGGAGGCTCCCATGCTCTCAGGAGGAGGAGGAGACAGAGGACAGAACATCATAGGATGAAGAGATTGAGGTGAGACGTCTCTGCTCTTTCTTCTGCTTTCCTCCTCCAGCTTTAGCTTCCAGGTTCAGTAACGTTCGACAGATTCTGTCAGAACCTAGAATCTGTCATCAGCAGCCAACAGGCAAGAGGAACAGGGCTACAACTGCACTTCATCATTCCGTCACAGGACCACTAATGCTTCGAGCCAGTTTAGAGCATTCAGGTGACCTGACCTGCTCCTGTAGGGGGAGGCCAGAGGGATGAACACACCGGAAACAGAAGAACAGGAGTTAAGTTCAACTGCTGATTCTCTGTTTCAGGTTCCTTCACTTCTGTGGATGAAGTCTGTGCAGGAGAAGCTCACAGTTCAGGTAAAAACACACTCACACTGAGCGGCGGCTGAGCATAAAGGCAGGAAGCAAACGCGCCACAGCAGGCGAGATTTAAAAATGTTTATAAAATCAGGTCTATTTTATTAGTCAACGTCATCATGACGAGTCGACTAATGGTGGTAGCCCCAGACATCTGGCTGCCTCATGCTCTGTTTTGGCTTGAGAGGGGAGGGCCTGGTGACGTAGCGAGGCTGTTGGGCATCGAGCATCGATTGGAACCGGTTCCAACTGTTGGTTTTTCATGGAATCGTTCAAAGTTTTTTATCTGGAATCTGCGGCCAATCTCCGTGAAAAATAAACGGGATCTGCAAATTGTGATCAACGCTTTTCAGAGCTGATCACACCAGCTGTTTGTGTGCAGCACTGAGTCCCCCCCTCCCCCCAGCCGGATACAAACAAACGCGTCTGCCGAACTTTTACTCCGTAATGTAAACTTTAACTCCTGCAGCGTAGAGGAAACTTGTTAAAATACGTCAACATGGTGGATTTAATAGAAGCTTTAAAGAACAAACTCTGGACGGTGTGAGGTGTGTTTGTCTCACTGCAGAAATAAAAACACGCGGAGCGTCAGCAGTCAGACGCAGCCGCTCACCAACACTCGTGTGTGTGTGTGTGTGTGAGCGTGTTATTAGTCATCATGCTAGAGCAGCAGAGAGAGAGAGAGAGAGACTTGGGGCTTTTAAAGCAAAATAAAAATGTAGTTTTTAGCTAAATTAAGATTTTATCTATGATTTATTGCATTGGTACTGAACATTTGGTATGTATAGTACTGTTTACTTATGATGTATCCTTTTTATTTTAATGCTTGTTGCTTTTACACTGTTGTGTTCAGCGCTTTAGGCTGCCCTAGTTGGCAGCAGGAAGGCGCTCTATAAATAAATAAATGAATGAGCTTTGGGAATAACCATAGAGATTAAGTTACTGGAACGTAAATGGTGCTGGTTGTTGGAAGTGATGAGTAATGAGCGAAGATATGATGGGTTCTACTGATGATTGTTTTGTATATAAACTGATACCGATGTAACAACCTGCAGGAATGAAGTGATGGCCAGTTAACGAGTGAGTACAGATCACAATGGTGAGTAGTGAAAGGGGCACCAGTGACCAAACGGGTTGCTGAGTGATACATAACAATAAGTTTATGCAGTTTTTAGAAGCAGTCCTATAAATTATGTCACCATAGTCTAAGATGGGAAGGATTGTTGTTTTGATCAAGGTTTGCTTTGCAGAATGAGTAAAGGTACTTGTGTTTAAATGAAGATGAAGGTTGGAGAAGGCATGTTTAAGACAAAGTTGTGCTGCAAGGATGACAAAGCTGTGTTCAAGGAGGAACTGCATGCATATAAAATGGTGTCGTCTGCATATAAATGTTTATGAGAACTGTCAACAGCATGAACAATGTTCGTAATATAGATTCTGAATAAGGTTGGGCCCAGTATCCACCCTTGAGGAACGCCCATAGATAGAGGTAGAGGAGCAGATTGATAACCCTCTGTTCTCACTGGTGTACGACCTACGATACGTTTATGTTTATGTATTTAGCAGACGCTTTTGTCCAAAGCGACTTACAAGTGATAATCGGCATGTTGCCCTTGAGGCTAACAACAATAACAACAACAACAACAACAAACAAATAAGATAAGATATAACTTCTGAACCATGCCACGGATGTCTGAGATAGTCTTAAATGTTTGAGTCTACTGAGTAAGATGTTATGGTTTACAGAGCCAAAGGCTTTAGCCAAGTCAACAAACACAGCTACACAATATTCCTTAATGTCAATGGCACATATGATGTCATTAAGCACTAAAGGTGTTGCAGACACATCCATGGCCAGTGCTGAAGCCGGACTGCATGGGGGTAATAATACTGCCGGATTCACACACACACACGCACGCACGCGCATTGTGAACCACCTGTAGACGGTTCAGGGAGGTTCTGCTCAGACACGTGAAAAGAGAGTTACAGTAGTCTAAGCGTGAGGAGATGAAGGTGTGGAGAACTGTCTCAAGTTCAGAGCGAGGCAGAATGGGACTCAGCTTCGTGTAACGTCACGAAATGAACAGATTTTAAAGATCCCACAGGTCATATGCAGCTAGAGCAAATAACCCTGGCTACTACATGTCCTGCTATATCTTCCTTGTCAGGAGTCTTTGAGTCTGCACAACTCAGCATTTTATTCAGATGACTTCATCGCTGAGCGCAGCTTCCTCAGATAATAAAGATGAACAGTAGCATTCCTTTCCCCAAGGTTCCTCACAAGAGAACTCTTAAGATAAACTTTTTATTCTCCAAAAGAAAAGAAGATTTCATAATTAAAGTAATCGTTTTATAATTCAAAATAATCATTGAAGAAAGAAGATTGTATGATTAAAAATCATTACATATTGCCATGTATAATTAAGCAATGAAATGTCCATGAATCTGTACTCAAGGATTGTTTAAGTATGTTCCTGAGATGGAAGAAGGAAGAGCGAACAAGACAACTGACATGAGAATCCAGGGTGAGAGCTGGGTCAAAGGTCACGCCAAGATTCCTGACAGAGGGTTTGGTGTGGGAAGCAAGCTGACCAAGAGATTCTCTGACTTTGGGAACCAGCTTGTCTGGGGCACAGATGAGGATCTCAGTCTGATCTTCATTCAGCTGTAGAAAGCTCCCACCATCCAGGTTTTGATAGAGGCTAAGCAGGTGTGTAACAGCTGCAGCATAGACATCTCATGGGGCTTAAAGGAGATGTACAGTTAGTTGGATGTCATCTGCATAAAGATGGTAGGATATTCCTTTGAAGGAGCTCAGGATGTGCTGAAGAGGAAGCAGATAGAGGAGGAAGAGCAGAGGCTTCAGCACAGAACCTTGTAAGGGTAAGAGAGGTGGTGGAGGACCTAAACTTGGAGACGACCACAGAAAAGGAGCGCTCAGACAGATAAGAGGAGAACCACTCCAGAGCAGTTCCTGATAGGCCTACCCAGTCTCTCAGCCTCTCCAGTAGCAGGTGATGGTCAGCGGTGTCAAAGGCTGCAGTCAGGTCCAGCAGGACCAGAACAGAACAGTCCCCTGCATCACTGTGTCAGAAGGTCATTAGAGACCCTAAGAAGAGCTGTTTCAGTAGAATGAGCTCTACGAAAACCTGACTGGAAGCTATCATAGATGTTTTGTTCATCAACTGCTTAGCCACAACCTTTTCCAAGATCTTGGAGATGAATAGATGTTTAGAGATGGGTCTGAAGCTGCTATGGAGAGAGGCGTCAAGACTCGGTTTTTTAAGAAGCAGGTGGATTACAGCGTTCTTAAAGTAAGCAGGGACCTGACCCGAAACCAGAGAAGCATTAATTATAGAGAGCACGCTGGGACCGATGGACTGAAAAGCACTTTTAAACAAAGATGAGGGTAAGATGTCGAGGGGGCATGCAGAGGTCTTCATAGAGTTAACTAGTTTGGTTAACTCAGGCAAAGACACAGGAGCAAAGCTATCTAGGATGATGGGCCTGGTTGGAGTCGGGAGAGGCAGCGATAAGGCTGAAGGAGAGATGCTAGATCTAACCTTATTGACTTTGTCCACAAAGAAAGACAGAAAGTTCTCACAGTCTGTAACAGAGTGGATGGAGGCTGTAGGAGTGGCAGGAGAGACGATGCTGCTGATGGTGTTTAACAGCACCTTGGGGTTCCCTTTGCTCTGGGACACCAGGTTGGAGAAATAAGAAACCCTAGCGTCTCTGACTGCAGAGTTAAAGGATGTCAGAAGATCCTTTAGGTGCAGCAGATGGACGTGGAGACGGGTTTTCTTCCACAAGCACTCAGTTTTTGTGACAGGCTGTGAATGCTGTCATTAAACCAGGGAGTAGGGTTCACTGCAGGAACTGATCTGGTTCTGACAGGACAGATGTTGTCCAGGATGGAGAGGCAGTGCTCGTTAAACTGAGAAGTTAAGGAATCTGGGTCGTTATCAGAAGAACAGGGTGGATCAAAAGCAGCAGAAAAATTGCTAGTTGTGCTCTCATTAAGAAAACGAGAACTACATACGACGAGCAGGAGGTAGGGACGCAGAAACTATATATATTTTATTAATTTATATTTTTTTAATGTTGTAAATCAGAAGTCAGAGTGACATGTGCCATCTCCACATCTGGTCTATGCTGGGTGGCATCTGTTTGGGTCTCACACCTGTGGGGTTTATTTACACACACTTTTCAGGAAAGCAGACATCTCACGCGCACACGCACACACACACACACACGCACACACACACACACACACACACCTGTTTCCAGATAAGGAAACAAAACATAAATAATGAGTTGACTGACAGGTAGCATGTTGTGACGTTAATCTGTATTTAGATCTATACAACAGCACTTCCTGTACTGGAAACTAGCAGGATCAATGTGAGGCCCGAGGCGCGCGCGCCCACACACACACACACACACACACACCCACACACACACCCCTGATCTGTGTTTGATGTTGATGAGGACCGACAGCCCAGCGATCCACTCTCTGAGGTCCTGTGTTTAGTGTTGAGCGCTAGTTGAGGTGGAGGCATTGTGGCGAGCAGTCGGGCGGCGGGTGTGAGTGTCTCTAATGACTTCATCTCATGGTTGTTTTCCTGACAGGACTGAAGGACCAACCAAACAGGAAGGATGTCCAGCGCTGCCTCGGCTAGAAAACCATACCGGAAGGCTCCGCCTCAGCACCGCGAGACGCGCCACACCCTCCCTACTGCTCCGCCACCACCTGCGCTGCAGCCCGACATCAGTCAGGTAAACAAACGCGCCCTGAACACGTTTGTGAACCCCCCACAGAAACGCTACACTCGCCATCCTGCCTGTGGTCTCCATGGCTTCCAGACCTCACCACCCCGCCTCTCAGACAGCGACCTGGATATCTCCAGTCTCTCCAGCCTGGAGCTCTGCATCCCGCCTCCACCACCCTTCAGCAGCCCCAGCACTCTGTCCACCCGGGCTTTCAGAACCTCAGAGGTTGGCGTCAGAGCATCTCAGTGCCACAGTCCAACGCTTTACAATGAGAGGAAGAGTTGTGACATCAGACAGACCTGTGCAGGCTCCAGCTCCACCGGGAAACGCTCCCCTACTCAACAGCTCAGCCTCCGGACTCACCGAACCAAGATGTCCACTCACATCACCCGACCCAAGGGTATTCTGAAGCAGCCAGCCACGTCAGAACAGAACCAGACCTATGATAATCTCAGGAGGTCCAAGTCTGTGGAGCTGCAACAAACAGGTTCTGCTCACAGCCTGCAGGTTCGCCCATCAGACCATGAAGAGCATTGTGTCAGAAGAAAGCCGACTTCGCCACAGCCACTGACTCCGCCCTCCCCCTGCAGGAACACCTGGAACTGGAAGATGCAGGCTCTAGAGGAGAAGGTGCAGTTTTCTAACTTCCTGGATGAGATCACCTGTCGGGTCTTAAGTCCTGCCCACCTGTCACTGTTTGGAATGTTGCCTCCCACGCAGAGAGAAAGCCACACCCCCCATAACGACCCCCACCATGCCCACACAATCCAGCAGGTGGAGTCAGCTGATCGGACCCGGCGTTGGGATGGCTGGGTAGCATCCATGAGGAAATCCGATGGGTGGTCCACCGCCTTGCAGAAACCAGGGGCGGGGCTTAACCAAAACACACAGGGGGTGGGGCCTGATGTGAGTAAAGGAATAAAGATGGAGGCTCAGGAGACGACACGTCCTCAGAAACACAGACGTCCTCTTTCTAATCTGTCCCTTTTGTCCCACATAAAGGTAGGTCAAAGGTCAAACACCTGTGTCTGTCAGTCCAGCTGTATTTGAACTAGAGCTCAATGCTACGTCAAAAATACACATCAGTTGATATTTTTCACTAGGGACGGATATTTTCACTAGGGACGGACAATATATCGGTATGGGCTGACGTTAGTCATTTTTTAACATATCGGTATCGGTTCGATAAATAAAACCAGGCCAATATTAACAACCAATATGTTTTCCATTTCATCTCCATTAGTTTGCCTGTTTCAGAGGGTGAGGGGGGTGATGTGTAATTGTTTAGTCATGTGACAGTAAATATAATCATCTCATGACCGTAAATGTGTGTGTGTTGTGTGCACATAACCTAAATTCAGCTTTGATAATTTAATTCTATACAAAATCTGCTGATGTTAGAAGCATTAATGTCAGTATATCGGTATCAGCATATGTCTTATCGGCCATAACGGTGATCTTAATATTGGATATCGTATCGGCCACAAAATTTCATATCGGTGCATCACTATTTATCACAATATTAAGTGTTTTTGTCAGTCTTCTCTGGTATTGTTAAGTGAGACTTCGGCTTATATGGATATTTTTTATTTAAAGCTGAGCAGGTGTAACGGTTTGTAACTGGTTACTTTTAATAAATTATCAATAAAATATAAAGATATTCAATCAAATGTAATATTCCATAAAAATTTGGATTATCAATATTATTGAGCCTTTAATATTGGATTTCTGATGAAACTAGGTACTTTGGTTAATCCAGGGAAACAACTCATTATAATAATTAGACTCAGACAAAAATACAGTTTATAAAATCTTATTTATTACTATATAAAAGATGATGGAAGGCTAATGATTATGAATGGTGACTCAGTGGTGTTAAATGAGACAATGAATTAACTCTGATGAAACATGACCTGGGGCCTCATTTATCAAGCTTGCTTATGCACAAAATGGGGTCGGAAAACTGCGTAAACAACTTTCCACGTGTAGCGTAGACAATCTACATACTAGAAATGTGTGCAACTTTAAGTTGACTAAGGACCTGGCTTACGCACATTTTGGACATGGAGAGCACCTGCAGTGCTGCTACTGAGAAGGATACAATTTTGAAATCCTGCAGCATTATCACTTGTACCGCTTCGTGTTCACACAGAACAAGACCCTCCACACGCACACCCACGCACGCACATGCGTGCACACACACATGCACGCACGCACACACACAGCCTGAAGCGCAGAATACGGAATGCAGAATATCAGCAGGGGGACAGATTGAGACAGAATGTCATGCATCTGTGACAGTGTGTGTCCTGTCACTGTGACCCGATTGATCATGTGCCTTGGCTACTTGGACAAGGGAGATCTGGTTGGATGACTGGTTAGCGTGCGTGACTTTCACCTGGGAGTCTGGGGATCAAATCCCGATTGGACCATTTTTTTTATATCCGCCACAGATCGCTCTGAAGAACTCAGCATTGACGGTTTCAGCAACGCTGTGCCACTCTGTGGATTTTCTCTTATTTGTTTTGCAAAATCACTTCCTTTCATTTCTCCACCTCACCCACAAGTACCTCAATTTCTGCTTCTCTGAAATTGCGCTTCCTTGATCTGCCTTGATCTACGGTCGCCATCGTCATTGGCGGAGCGCTACAACAGCCAGCTTTTGTATTTGCATGAGATCCACAAGGCACTTTGCATTGAATACTTATGGCAGTAAGTGGGCGTGGTGAGGGCGAAATGTGACTAAAAAGCAGCTGAGAAACATTCTCGTTAGTCTCCGATTTATGAAGCGGAGATTGTGTGCAGCTGTGCGTACTCCATGTTTGATAGATTACAAACGTAAGTACATTTTTTTTGCTGAGCTTAAATACGGTTTTAGTAAGGATTCTACGCAATGTTTGATAAATGAGACCCCTGGTGTGTTTAAGAGTTTTCTAAGTGACTCAAGAAAGGTGTGATGTCTGGTTTATAACATACATTTGGGTGTTTGTTGGATGTAATTTAACAAGTTATCAGATTAATATCAACCACTCTGACACCATTGTTTCGTCTACACACCCTGGATCATGGAACAGGGTGTCCGCGGGGTTTTAAAAAGTATTAAAAAGTGATAAATAAAAATAGTCAAATTTAAGGCCATTAAAAGTGTTAAATTTGGTCTCAGAGGTATTATGTTTTCCAAATTAGGTATTATTTTTTTCAGACTATCAGATGCCGTATTCTGAACATCGACATAGAAATATATTCAGAATAAAATGTGTTGAACGATTATAAAAACAAAACAAGCTGATTATTTGCTCCTCCCACTTGCGCTGCCCTGAGTTGCAAATGAAGCGCTCCTCCACAGTGTTGCCAACCTGGCAACTTTGACGCTATTTCTAACAGCGTTTCAGACCCCCTTCTTGTCTTTTTAAATCTTAAAAGTACCTAGCGAACACCTCAGAAACATCTCTGGTAACCTTAGCTACTTTCTGGATAACTGTCGTCAACATTTCATGCAGGTTAGCTAAACACTCCGCCTGCACTCCGGACCGTTCTTCAGGACATTAGGAAAGGGAATGGTGCAGTGATGTGTCAGTCGCTAAAGACAGCTCTCAGAGTTGGCTCTGTTGGATTAACCAGAGTGAGTGACACACACTGCACCTGCGGACTCCTGAGCCGCTAAAAACAGCTAAATGTGCGCGTGCGGCGTGCTAAACACACATGCAGCTTGCCCGATTGCTGTGAGACCGGGTTGGGGGGTGGGGGTGCAGCTGTGGTTGGGACAATTATTACATTAACTGATGGACTTGTAAATAAATAGTTTATAAATAAGGTAGAAATAAGTTTCTCACGCTGATAAATAATAACTAATCTCAAGGGCGTCAGTTTGTTTTCAGAATTGCTGGGGACAATAACCATACACTTGAGTGGGGTTTAAAAATTGCTGGGGACAATAAAGTAGGCTAGCACAGGGGTCGGCGGCTCTGGAGCCTCATGCGGCTCTTCCATCCTTCTGATGCGGCTCTCTGTGCTTGTGAAATAATGAATGGATATTTAAATAAAAAGCTTTATATTTTACTGCATTAATTTGACATCTGTAAGCTAATTCTAAATGTAAAGATTGTCTGCGTAAACCTGAACAGTTCCAACCCGGTCTTACTGTGAGACCGGGTTGACGCGTCACGCTTGTGCGTAATCATATCGGCGCTTCTGAGCTGCTTTCTGACCTTCCCCACCTACAAAGTTTAATTACAACAATCAAACGTGACAGAGCCTGGATTTGTATTCTGAACAGTCTAAACATGATTTAAAAAGAAACATAGGACAAAAGTGGCACCTGCTCAGTAAAACCATCAACAGGGTGAAAAATACCAAAAATTGAAGGCAGAGACGGGCTACAACTTCTGGATCCATTTTATATAAATTGTTTTATTGATTATCGTCTAATGAAAGATAATTAAGACGTACATGAGCGATCAGGCGCGTTGCAAGCTTTTCAAAAGTGTGGGGGATGTTGTCTGTGCCTAAAATAATTTCATGTTATTCATCTTGTTAGTTTAATTTCCGTAATAGCGGAGCAGGTGCGAATTTTAGACGCGTCACGCACGTCTCCGTTTCAAAGATGTTTAAACTGTTCAGAATACAAATCTAGGCTCTGTCTCGTTAGATTGGTGTAACTAAAGTTTGTACTGAATGAAACTTTACATTAAACCATGTTGAAAAGTAAAGGATCCGATTAAATAGTTTCCCCCTCATTTACAGTCAGTACAGTGCAGTGCGCACGGCTCTGGGGTTAATCAAGTTTAATTGTAACATTAATGTGTTACTGGACACGCTGGTCTGGTTGGTTAGACCAGTGTTTGATGTGGAAAACACACACACACACACACACACACACACACACCAATTAAAATAATGCTGATAGCGTGGATAGAAGACAGGTGATGGTTTACGTATTTAAATGATGATCAGGCTGATGTAAAATGTAATCTCCATCCACATCCAGACAGAATCATCCTCTATTC